ATTTATATAGGAAAATGAAATATTGCCATGATAAAACATTGTGGAAAAGAATAGAATTCTTAGCTTTCATCCTTAACTTAGAGCAATTTCTTTCCATTATCAATTCACTGTAGTCTTCAATTTTCTGAGAAATGGTCACAGATAATAGAGTAGCAGGTTAAAATTGCTGATGATTTGCAGATGATTGTTAGGTCACTGAGAAATTAAGTGACACTGGGGTCACTTTTAGAAGTGAGAAACAGTAGGGAACCTTACACTTGCTTTCTCATTCAGGTATTTTAATAATACAAGCAATTGATTCTTGCTTGCAGCAATCTTTTTTTATAGTAATGCGTGCTTTCATGAAATTACATATATTACCAAACTTACTTTGTTGCCTTTCCTTCCAACAGTTATTACGAATGTTGGACACATAATCCTCTTCCACACTCTTTTCCACTTTCTGTAATGACACTCCTTTGTATTCATTTCTAAAGTCCTTGTTGACATAATAAATGACACCCAAGTTTTCTGTCTGCATTTTTATGGTCTGCCCTGTACTTCTGCAAAAAAGGAGAGAAGGTGGAGAAAGAGACTAGATATTTATTTGATTCTTCTTTTTACACCACAAATACACTTCTAAAAAATATTGCTATTACAGAAGAACAGCACATCACTGAATTTGCCACTTCAAGACAAGTAATGAAATGAATGGTTGTATAACCTGCCAGAGAATAAAATTACTACATTTACCTGAACATCAAACTTCTGCTGCTTAAACCCTTGATCTTGAAAAAAACCCCCCACTTTAGTAAGACCCTTGTGTCACACCTCTCTAGTCAAATATAAGCTTTGGTAATAGAAAATCAAATTCAAACTCAACAGAAAGAAAATCAGGTCACTGTTCTGTAGCAACCCAGCACAGGCATCTCCGTTCTAAAGTGTTTTCTGCCAGCCCTGACAAATCCATTTTCCTGCTGGCATTCTGTGGATTAAAAATCAAAGATTGTGCGCAAACATTTTGGCAGAGAAGTGTTTATAAGCATCACAACAGCTTAGTTGCTGAAGGGAAAAACATCACACTCCAGAAATAAAGAACTCTGAAAAACAAGAGAGGAGAAAAAAACCCTTTCTGTTGTGGGGCTGAGAGCTCTGCAAGGAACTAAGGACCTTTAAAACAGTTGTGGCGAGTGAGCTAAGTCTACTAGCTAGTTGCATGCTTGATGTTATTTATTTCTTGTCAAGGAAAAAAGGTTTATATATCCTACTGTACAAAACAGGTAAGTTTCATTAGTAGAATTCTTTGCAAGAAAACGAAGATAAACTATTCTATCATCACCTAGACTGAGGCAAAGAACAGACAACTTCCTCAGCCCTCATCTAGTTCAAAACTTAAGTAAGGATGAGAAAGTTGCTTTCAAGTACTTCACTTGCTACAAGCACAGGTGACCCCTAAAAGAAAAATGAGCCTTAGCGGGTTTCAGGATTCTATTAAACATGCTGGAGATGCAAACGCCTTTGCACCATGCTACGCTGCATGGACCCACTACCTTGTATTAGAAGACCTCCTAAACTCCAGGTATTTCTGACCTCTTTTCTCCATTACATTCTCACAGCATGTTCTTAGTACCTAACTTTCAAGTTTTGTTCTACTTCATCTATACCTTCCCTCCCTTTCCTCGCCGCCAGAAGTCAAGGAGCAACTAATGGAAGGCTCTAAGTGGGAGAGGATGATTACAACATCTTCCCCTCTGTTTTAAGCTAATATAATCAAGCATTACTTACGATCTTGGGTATAAGGCGTAAGGAGGGTTAGATACCATCAACTGGCTCAACAAGGAGACAAGGATCAACACAATAATAGGCATCAGCTGAATGAACATAGAGAAACCTCCCTAAGGAACAAAACAGATTCAGGTATTTCATAAAACAGCATCAAGTAAACAGGTAAATTGGACAAGATCTAACGCTAAGCATGACTTTCTGCTTTAAGCATCAAAAGCTGCTAGGAAAACTATAACTACAAACCTGCAAACACTGTGGTGTTATCTTAACTTTCCAATACATACACAATATTCAGAGAGTGCTCAAGCTGCAAGAGTTCTTGGGTTAGCACATAGCCACAAGCAACCACCAAATGAATAGCTGGATTCAGTTACATTGTACACCATGATTTGGTCTCATCTATACAGTGATATGTAATTATACAGGACTATATATAATTCATATAGATGAATATTGAGCCTTAAGTACAATTCTTACCTCAGCCCAAATACATTTTTAAATATAGAAAGGATTAGTGACCAGAATTAGTGGCATATTTAGGCTAATACTACCAGTCACTAGTAAGATGGTGACATAGAACAATAGATTTACAAACCCAGGCTATTATTTTCTCAAATTTGCATGTCTATTTACCAATCAGTAAGACTACCACCTGCCAAAGTTTTAAAATACGTAACTGGCAAGTACAAATCCTCCTCTACAGTACAGAGCTCCTGTACAGTCACATCACTGAAAGTAACTACCAGCAAATTTCACAATCCACAGTTTGAAGTCAATGGCATTTAAACATACATCACCCCTCTCTTCCTCCCTCTCATGTCCACTCTGACGGTGCTGATTAGGATGACTGTAGCCAGCACGACCATTAGAAAATGAATGTACACTACCTAAGGAAAGAAATATCCACACTTAAATAATGTAAAAAAAAACTATTTAGAGGTCAATACTGAAGCAACAACATAGAGCATTTAACATTACTGCACAATGACATATAAAATAACTCAACTTTAAGATATCTTACAATTTTGAAGTTGTTTAAAATAAATATTTTAAGTTCTAAGGCAACTGATTTGTTATTTCATGTACCGCAGAATCACCATAGTAACCCCAAAGAACTAACTCACATTTTGGGGATTTAGCAACACATAGGGGAAAAATAAACCGCGATGCAGATTAAGGAGTTGGGGTCCGAGGCACGTTGGAGTAATTTTACTGTTTTATAATGTCACAAACTCTAATGCCACTCTGGGAAGTACCACTGTATCCTGATGATATACTGATATATACAAATACCTGTTGGAAAGGCCCCTCCAAAAAACATGTTGAATAGATCCTCTGGAGTAATATCTGCCTCACAACCTTTATGGAAGTTGAATCTACCGTTGCTAGGGTGACTGCATGTTTGCTCTTCACTGCCTGTAAGGTCATACTGCTTTCGTTTTTCTGGATTACTCAGCACAGCATACGCATTTCCGATTTCTGAAGCAAGGAATAAAAGACAACTCCCATAAATGAAAGATAAGAGCTATTCCAGCATGAAAATTGCAATTTCAAAGTCAAGAATAGGCTGCGAATTATGTCCTTTACCGTATGTTACAAATCAACTATAGTACCACAAGGGCCAGAAACATCTCTACTTTTCTTAGCATAGCTTCCAGAAAGTTTCCCACCAACGCTATTCAAAGGCCTTTTATCCTGTTGAACTAGGCAGAAGGCAGGAGAGCTTTGATCCTTTTTCTAGGGGAACACCTACACCTGTGGAAGTGTTCTCTCTCACTGCAATTACAAAAAAAGCATCAAGCATTACAATGAGAGCTTTGAAGTGGGGTAATTGCAAAGTTCAGTTTGCTCTAGCAGCATAGCTTAAAAACATCATAGACTCAGTAGGTTTTCTTTGGTTTCATTTAGTAAGTGATGACTTCTTCGAATGCATCAACTTTATTGTCTACAAGAGTGTGAATGTATTTTTAATATGCTTCTTAAGATATTTTATGGATTACATTAAAAACACAAAGTTTTGCATGACGTAACGCGAAGAGTACAACATGCATGCACGACAGGAACACGTGTGTTCCCAAAGTTGGCAATACGACCTCAATGTTTGGAGTGCCTGGCCTGGATGCTTGTCCCTGTTCACGCTACACTATCACAAATGTACAACTTCAATTTTGACAGCAGAAAGGGAAAAACTGAGTTAGGTGAGCATGGAAAGAATCAGTGTGAAAAGACCACAAGCTCTACTGACTTTACAAGCTTTGACCCTAGCTGCTCTGCATAGATACACAGCTCTTGCAAACTGAAGGAAAATTTCTGTTGGCACTCGATGAACAATCTTCCCTCAGTCATATCTTCATTAAACTCTTTCTCCTTTCCTCTCTCTCCTCCAGGCCTCTCCAACAAAAGGCTTCTTTTGCAGCCAACCAACACAAGGCACAGGGATTACGTTTTTCAGTGTCGAAAAGCCATCAGTCATCAAAAGTTCGTGAAAGGTGCAACACTATAACCTCAACACAGGCAAATAAGACTACGGCTTTGCATAATTAATGTTTTCAACATTATCCAATCTAAAAAAAAGTTAATGAGTTTTAGCTATGTGCCTTTTCAGATGCCCTTAGAAATAATCATTAGCAATTCCTTTAAGTGGAGGAGAGCACTGCACTGAGAGCATGATATACACTACTGACAAGCACCAAATATTGCTACAAGGTTCCTCTGTTACTCAGCACGAGGATAAAATTGGTAGTAGAAATTTAGATTTTCCCAACAATTAAGAATTTAGAGAGACATAAATTAGGTGACTGCACATAAAGTGAAGACACCATACTGTCACGGTATGGTCAGCAATCTTTTTTGACTATTTGTAATTTGCTTTTGATTATTTGATGCTAATTCACAACAGATTTGATTCAAACATTATTTTCTTTAAATAAAAGACATAAAAAAATGAAAAAAACTGCTCAAAAGTTTCAAAGGAAAGATTTTTTATGAAGTTGGTAAAAGAGATACCAAGAGATTAAAAATGATTATATTTGCACAAACTTTTTAATCTAAAATATAACCTCAGGGAGACTGCTTAATACAACAGAAGAGTAGTACTAGGTAGCTCAAGATCTAAGTAAGTACCTTGCCTATCATCAAACTCAATTCTATTTTCTAATGTGACCTTTCCTTAAAATAAAGCATTATTGTGAAATAATAGCTATTATTATGAAACTCCTTTTCTCAGCTGGATATTAGAAACTAATCAGACACCTTTAGAGGCAAACTAAATCATAAATTTGCTCAGCTGTACAAAAAGATTACAATAATTTCAATGCAAGAAAAATGCTAGATTTCATTAAATAATTTTTAGTCAACAGGATTCCCCTACAAAATTTTCTGTTCATTTACTCATCTAGTTAAGAACCAGAAAGTGAAATTAAGCCAAAGAAATCAAACTTGTACAAAGTGCTAATGTTAAATAAAAGATTAAATAATAAGAAACTGATTTCTTACATTTTAAAGATTATTTAAAATGCTATTAACAGGGAAGAATTATTTTATTATAGGGCTGGAGCCAATTTTATAAGAATAATATCTTTTTTAGATAAAGCCATTACATAGCTGTATTAAAATAATCATTAGCCATCAACCTTCCTGCTATGTTCTACCTACTTTTCATCTGGAATTGTTAACATATTATTATAATTACCCCTTAAGGTCTGTATCAGAAGTCTTGCTCAGGACTTTTTTTTTTCTTTTTTCCCTCCCCCAGTTTAAGAGTTTTTCAAATGTCTGCATGTAAACATCACATAAGGAAAAAAAAAAAAAGATGTACCACAATCAGATTGTTTATTTATGCATGATCATTTCTTACATATTCACATTTTTCTTCATCTGTGTCTGAGATGAAGGTGTAGTTTTCTTTAAAAAGCTTTTCCTCAACAATTTTCTTTATGCAGGGCTAAGCTTGGCAGCTTAGATCAGGTCAAGTCAGATTGTAAATTTTACCTAATGGTCAAATGCAACTATTAATAAGGCCATGTTTGAACCCAAGTGTTTTTGTGTGGAAAAACTAGTAAAACTATACACATACAAGGAATTCTAAGGAAAAGGTAACAGCATAGCATGTGATTAAGTAAAAACTGCATTTTGCTATCAAGTACTACTTTGTTTTTTTCAAGCTCAAGTATAGTAAAGATTCAAGATACTAAGATTCAAATGACTACATTAAATCAACAGTAAAAGTGCAATTGGGTTTCACAGATCAAGTATTCACTCCCTGTACCTGAAAATTACAGTCAATCCTCTGAAACCGAACCCTACTCCAAAAGTCCACATTATTTATCTATACTTCTAGGTATATGTTAAGATAATAAAGGTAAAATATTTTCTTGGATAAAAATGTCAGTTTAATATTAACTACAAAACACCACACTGACAATTTTGTAAAAAGACAAGTGACCAATGCAGATGAATTTCTTTTAATCTGACAAAGTTTAATCATACAAGAAATTTTAAGTAAAAATGGTATTTTACTTTTAAAAGCCTCTGTTGCTCCAGGTGCATGGTTTTTGTCTGGGTGGTATTTCAAAGCAAGTTTTCTATAAGCCTTCTTTAGGTCTTCTTCACCTGCATCCTTTGACACCCCAAGGACTTTGTAATAATTTTTACATTTCTTTATACTGCAAAAGAAAGTGAAGTAAAATGTTGTAAACAAAAAGATGTAAAAGTAGTATGTTAGAACACAGCTGCAAATGAGATAATACATTGCACTGACGCAATACATTACATCTCTCACTTTCAATATAAAATATACAAAAAAATTCCACTCTAGAAACAAAGAATGCCATTTTTCATAATAAACTCACTACTGAGCACAATAAACTATTGTACTCAAAATTACTTACTACATACATTTATTTTACTACTTCTACTGTAGAACTACTACAGTTGTAAGAAAAGGTTTCAGTTTGCAATTACTGTAGCATTTCCTCATCCCCAATTATATGAATATTGCTGTTAATAATACATAAAATGAAGATTCCAAATTTACTTTGCAGAGCTAGCGGGTAGGAAGGCCTGTTTTGACTGTCAACAGCAAATGCACTTCGGTATGCATGATATAAACCAAACCAAACAATACCTCCCTTTCTCCAAACAAAAGTCAAGTCATAACACCATTCAAGCATTCACTTTTCAGGGAAATAAGGCATGTGAGAATACCTCTGCTGCTGGGAATGCACCTGGATCCTAACAAACTTTCTGTAAGTGTTTATATAAATTCAAAGAAACAACAACAGCTCCAGCAATTACAGATTCAGCTCATCTCATATCTTCAACGTAGCATTTCTTAAAACTCTGAAAACTCGGAAATACTGTTCCTGTAGGCTGTCTCACCCAGACAGGAAAAGCAAAATCTGGAAATGATGTAATGATTTGGGATGCTTTGCAATACTCAAAAGAGAGAAAGAGCAGTCCCAGGGGACAGATAAAACATTAATTGTATGTGGGCAGGAAGAACTGACCAAACCAATAAATACACCTTAAAATCAAACCAAGTTACTTGGGTAAGAATTCAGAAACTTAGAAAAATAAGGCCGAATCACAAACTTGCATTGCAGAAATGAGGCACATTGACATTTGGTGCATACCAAAAGAAAAGGGCTGGTCTGAGCAAGAAATAGAAATGACATCCATAAATATTTTAAAAGCTTCGTGTGAGTCTCTTCCCATGGCTGTAACTGTGTCCACATTCTCTTAAAAGCACAGATTTCTACGTAAATATGGGTTTAGTGTTACAAAGACTATACACACGGCAGCCAAGTGGAAAAAAAGGGGGTAAGCAAGCCTTTGGCATTTTCATGAAAGAAGAATGGGTACCCTGTAATTAAGGGAATGCTAGCATCAGAAGTACAACCACACCGTCGTGTGTGGTCCTTCACAGTCCACAGATTGATCAAATCAAGTTTCATTTGAGGGATCCCTTTTCCTGTGTTCAAATAACACGAGCTTTTATGGAAGTCTCGGTGTAATGCTCACAAGGGCACTGAATTGAATGCATGCAGGCGGCTGCCAACATGAACATCCTGTGAAATAAATATAGCTCATTATATTGAAGTAACATTTAATAAGCTCCAGTTAGGAAGCTGATAAAGCTAACTAAAAAGAACACAGTGAAACCATCCTCAAGAAAGAATGGAAAGAAAATATATTAAATTACACTGTGAATACTGGAAACTTTTGTTCGTTCATTTGTACAGTAAGAAAAAATTTTGGTAGTGTACAGGTCCCTTCACCCTTAGCCTCAAGACCTGGATTACTTATGAACTGTATCAAGAACAGACAGCCTTATTTTAAAGTGTAATAGTATCAAATTAAGCTTTTATTTCAAGAAATTGCTATCTCAGCACCCAATCTAAGTTCTTCTCTTCAATAATTCAGTATCTGAATTATCTGTTTGTGGACCAGACTCTTCAGAACTTTGGTTGATATAAAATTAGGTAGTCAGTCTCCAATTTTTAGCAAAGTTGTTATTTTATTAGCATTAAAACTGTCGTGTTAACCATTGTTCAAGTGGTGTTTCAAGCACTTTGCATCCTCAATAACTTTTTCCTCCAACAGCATATAGTCATTTCTCATGGAAGTAACAAACATGAAAAAAAAACATGAAAGTTTTGCAGACCTAATATGCGTTTATTTCAAACTCTAGGATGCAGAGAGGAGAAAAATGGAAAAAAAAGAACAACCCAAGAAATGCCAACCTGTTCTTCTAACCCTCAAAAACTCACCCCAGAATTTTTTCCCATTCACAACCAGTGAAAGTCCCCCAACGGGAAACCCTCATGGGAAAAGCAAATGGTTATCAACCAGAAGACGTTCAGGTCAGCACATGACGCACCAGCTTCCGACACCATGACCTGCTTAGAGCCAGTGCATCAAACCAGAGCTGCTTCCTGATGAGAAAGTGCAGGGAGACACTTGCCTTGTGAGTCATGTAGCACTTGCCCTCCAAAGGGATGAATGCAATCACCCTCCATGCAACAGCTATCCTGAGCCTGGTCCACAAATGAGCTATTGTTATTTATCAAGAAACAAGTGTTCAGCCACGGTGTAACAAGAGATATACTTTCTCTTAGCAAGTCTTTGCTAGTGATTACTTTGTTAAACAAAAAATTCTACAAATACACAAGCATCTCTACGCCAACATTCCTGATTTTATATGAAGCTATGATTTAATATTTCAAGCACACCTTGTATCAAATCGCCCTCATACCCTGACCTGCTACCCTAGGCTAAACGGCCAGCCTCAAACAAAGAAGCCTTTGTGAATTTGTGACAGCCACCCCTGACTTTTATTCTCCCTTGCGTGTTCTTGTCAGGATGGGCACGCTTACAGCAACACTGCCTGCAACAGACCTGTAACCAATCCTTCAGATTATTTACATTGCCCTCCTTTCTACTGCACAGGGTCAACGCTGAGATACATAACCCCTGTTCGCTGTTCAGGCCATTGCCATCTTCAGATCTCAACCAAGTCAGTGCTGGTTCTTACAAACCTCAGCAGCAAACGTAAGCTACAAGTACTCTGCTGGATAGCCTGAGGAGCAGGCTCTGCTGCATGTGACTTCATGGTGAATCACGTGGAATACGCGTATACATATGGCAATTTTGCGGAGTTTAGCAGGACTTTGGATTGGGCAGATCAAGCTTTAAAGCTAAAATACATTAAATTATTGTACAAATGCACAGGGGCTGAAAACCATACCTAAGCCTGGAATTCTCAGCAATGACCTTGTGCTATGAAGCCCTTGCTACACTCTGCCATTAGACAACAGTTTTATACAATTGCTTTGCCACTTCCAGGCAAAAAGCATCTGGACTGCAAGTAGCTAGCATCTAGTTAATGCAAAGTTTCCTACAGGGAGGGAGTTAGTGACTTCTGCCAGAAGGTCCCTTACTGAGCACAGTTCAGGGCAATCATTACAGGGTAACGGCCTCAGCAAAGTCCATGCAATTTTGCACCAAAACTTGTACTGCAGCAGCTTTGCACGGGGGATGATGGGACAAGTGAAGATGATCAGAAGGTGCATTCCAATTAGACAAAATTATCAGTGTTTGTGGTGCACCCCTGAGAGGCAAAACTTTAATGCATTACAAACTCAACCTGCTAAGTCAGTTTATAGCAGGATAAACTGTACGGGATCAGCAGGGGAACCCACCAGATCCTCAGGTCATACATGTGCTGTGCAGTCACCAGGCTTCTCAAACACTGTTGGACCACACACCACATCCCTCCTCCACCTTAAAGAGATGGGGATCATGGGCTTTGCACAGAGATTCTCCAAGACTTAAGTCCTCTTCCTCCAAACTATCACTGTAGAGAAATTTCTCTCCAGCCACTGGGAGCTCTTGGAAGCCACGGCCGATCTGATCCTTGTCCCTCAGCAGAAGCATGCCTTTTTGGACATATTCCTCACCCCTTGTCTCTAGTAGACTGATGTCTGACAATCCTCACTCTGCCAGAATCCCTCGCCTGGAACGTTGAACTGTCCTGTGGAGACTTGTCACGGTAGGGCAGATGGATGGAAGGAACCATCCCCTTCCCACTTGTCTCTTATTGCAGGCCACACAGCACCGGCCAGCAGAGGCTTGGAAAAATTAAGAATAAAACCAGCAGAGGTTTTGGAAAAGACCGATCACTCATGTTACTTACGGCTTTTAACCGCATCTGAAACCCCTGTCCTGCAGCACTCTCAGCATGAACAACTAACTTTCCGAAAGCTGCATTTCAAATTGTTGTTTGGTTGGTTTTGCTGCACTTAAGGCACTGTAGTGCCTAGTGCTAATTTTCTTGCATATGTAAACTCCACACAGATGTTTCTTTTTAAAATTGCAATTTACATAGCACTTGTTTATAGGCCGCCCCTTTTGTACTGAATTGGTTGGGTTTTTTGTTTATTTCTGGCTTATTTGAAGTTTGGTGCTTTCACTGTTAATTTGTTTGGGGTGAATTGCTTTTCTTGTGTTTTACTTTCTGGTTGGATCACTTCTGTATCTGAATTACTATCAAATTATTTCTGCTGTTTAGCTAATTTCTGTCCTTGCTGAATTGTTAGTCCCCTGCCAGCACCTTGGCACTGTCCTTCTGGTTAACAGATTTGCTGGCTGTTTTAGGACGGCACATTGCTGGATGTTCCTGAAATAATATCTGACTTGTAGAGAATAGACTTCTCAAACAGCGTGAGGGCAAGTGATGGCCTACATTCATCCACAATCTGTTGACAGAGGTATCTCGACTTGCAAAACTCCACTATCCCAGCTTGCAGTTCACAAGCCACCTGCAGTAGAACTGGTCAGCCAGCTTCAAACTTCAGCAACAGCCAATTCTGCCTGATGCTGGGCTCCTCTGCATGCCCTGACGGCTGAAGGCAGAGGAAGCCCTTCAGGTCCCGAAATGTCTGCTGTCGCCTGCAGAAATTCTGGGGCTACCACCACTGGTTCTCCTGTGACTACAAAATGATGTGATCCTACTGCTGTGGTTCTTGTTTCACTTTTCAAATCTACAATTCAGATTAGGTCAGCATCAACAGCTTTTATCAGGTTAACAAAACCTACCAGAGATGCTTGCATTTCTGTATCAAATACCTGCAGTGATCCATAATCAGGAAGTTTTAAGTCTGAC